AGGACCCCCCCCCCCCCCCCCCCCCCTTCTGTCCATTGCAGTCTTCTGATTTGATTCAGTATTTCACCATGGCTTGTCTTCTTCTAATTCTGATCCTCTTGCTGCTTTCATGCATCCTGAAACTCACTCTCTCAATGATATGGGTTCCTCTAAGAATCCAAGCTCATTTCAAGAAACAAGGCATAAATGGCCCTAAATACAGGTTCATCTTCGGCAACTCGGCAGAGATCCGCCGTTTATTTGCTGCTGCAGCAGAGTCGAAGTCAACATGTATCAGCCATGATGTTCTTCACCGTGTGGCTCCATTGTACTACGAGTGGTCACGCAAGTACGGGAAGACTTTCCTCTACTGGTTTGGATCCAAGCCCAGATTGGCCATGTCCGATCCAGATATGATTAAGGAGATTCTAATGAATACGGGTGGGTCATTTGAGAAGATTCCGTTTAACCCGCAATCTAAAGTTCTGTTTGGAGGAGGGCTTGTTGGGCTTGATGGTGATAAATGGGCTCTACATAGGAGGATCACAAACCAAGCTTTTAACATGGAGCGAGTTAAGGTAAGCCCACCAATTCTTGAATTGGGCTCATTATCATTGTAGACATGTTTGCGAGTATTTATTACACATTCAGTCCAAATGGTTTTGGGTCCTCTACTGGGCTTATTAGGCCCAAATACTTAAGAGTTAAGGAATAGAGTTCCTAACCATTAGAGGTTCAGAATCACGCTCATCCTAGCATGTAAAACCTTTTGCAGTCCTTATGGTTCCTGATAATCTTTGCAAATTTGATCCATATTTCATCAAACTGCTGACACCAAAATCTATTTGACAGGGTTGGGTGCCAGAAATTGCGGGAAGCATTGCCAAGATGCTAGAGAAATGGGAGGGAATAAGAGGAGGGAGAGATGAGTTTGAGATGGATGTGCATAAAGAACTTCATGACCTCTCAGCAGATATTATATCCAGAACTGCTTTTGGAAGCAGTTATGAAGAAGGGAAGCGCATATTTACATTACAGGAACAACAAATGCATTTAGTTTCTCAGGCTCTGAGAAGTGTCTACATCCCAGGGTTCAGGTGATTACTATCCTTTCATTTGGCCACAAATTATAATACTACTGAAAGAAACCAGAATGATAGGTTTGTTTTATTATCTGTGCAGGTTCGTGCCTACTAAGAAGAACAGAGAGAGGAGGAGACTAGAGAATGAAACTCGTGAAGCGATAAGAATGCTGATAAAGAATAACAGCAGAGCAAGAGAAAATTCAATGAATCTACTTAGTTCACTCATGTCTTCATATAAAAATCAGGAAGGGAAGGAAGATACATTAGGGGTAGAGGAGATTATAGATGAATGCAAGACCTTCTATTTTGCAGGAAAGGAAACTACTGCCAACCTTTTGACTTGGTCGCTTATCCTCTTAGCATTACATCAAGAATGGCAAAACAAAGCAAGGGAAGAAGTGTTTTCTGTCTGTGGAGGGAATGATCTTCCAGTGGCAGATAATTTAAACGATCTCAAGATTGTAAGCTTAGACTACTACCCTGACAGAGTTTTAAGAATTTTAAAAGGGTGCAGTTTGGCTCTTCTACATCATAATAATTCAAAATTTCTTTTTGTTAATATCCCGGTTCCTTATCTTGCAGGTTAACTTGATACTCAATGAAACACTTCGGCTCTACCCTCCAGCTACTATGTTGATGAGACAAGCATCTAAAAAGGTTAAGCTTGGGACCCTGGACATTCCTGCCGGCACTCAATTCTATTTATCCTTGACTGCTGTCCATCATGATACTGATATATGGGGAGAAGATAGCAGTGAATTTAATCCGTTGAGATTTAATGAGTCTCGAAATCACTTGGCTTCATTTTTCCCATTTGGGATAGGCCCCAGAATTTGTGTTGGTCAAAATTTAGCCATTGTTGAGGCAAAAATTGTCCTAGCCATGCTCATCAAACATTACTCTTTCGTAGTATCCCCAACCTATGTTCACGCTCCAATGCTCTTTATAAGCTTGCAGCCTCAATATGGTGCACAGATCCTTTTCCGCAGGATTTCCAATTGAAGGTTGGTTAGCAGTACAATCTGATGTTCCTGTAAAATAATTACAACCCGAAGGATTGTACCTTCAAAAAAAATATTCTTTTCTTTTCACATACCAAAGTTTTGTATGTAAGTTTCAAAATTTGGTATTTCTTGAGACATGAGAATTTGACTGGTTGGTCCACTAGATGGGAGGCTCATTGAGTTTTTTATTTCATTAAGGCATAATTTTTGTTGTCTATTTAATTAGTCATTTGAGTTTTGTCGTGCAGGTTTAGTCTTTGCTCAATTTTACATGGATCTGGAATATGCCATTACACATCAAGAGCTATCGTAAGAAAAAGAAGTGGAGGTAGATGCCCCTGAAACATGCCAAAACTCCTGACAGTTAGCATATAATCAACTTCAAGAAAAAAGTGAGCATGTTTCATCACTCTTCTACATATACTATGCCACCCTTGTTCCCACGCACTCTTTCAAACTCTCCATGACAAGGACAACTCTGTTATTACACTGTTTCAATCTAGTGTTTTGTATCTATGTAAACAGTAACAACGACTCTAATCCCTTTTATTATATTGTAAAATATATGTATAATGTGATGAATGTGCTGAGTAGTAAATCTTTCAGAGTGGTTGCTAACTGCTGAAAAAAGGTTGAGTATATTAATTCCTAGACTGCTGGGGTCTTGAAAGAGATAAATATGATTATTGTTTTGATAATCACGTTACTTTGCCAGATTTCGTTACTTCCTTTCCTGATATCACCATTTGCATTTGAACCAACTTCTCAGAAGTGGGTGAAGCGCATTTTCAGACACGTAAAAGTTGACTATGCTTAACCTCAGATCGAATTCAGACCTAAGAACATGATTCGAACATAAAATTGTACTTACAAGTGTTTCTAAGCTCATTAACTCATTTACAATAATCCCTTGATACCTACAGGAAGATTATATGGCTAATATGAAACACTTTTTACAAAAATATATTTGATTAAAGAGACAAGGATTAAAACATAAAATAAATATGTTTTTGTGATAATTTTATAATGAATTTATAAATAAGTTTAAAGGCATGTTTATTTTGATTTTACCATATCTTTATCTTTTCTGTTTTGAGATCCAGCGCTACCTTGAATGATTAATTCAGCAAGTTACTAGTAAATAAATAATTTTTAATCTAAAATGAATTTATTTAGTTTAATTTAAGGGTTTTATAACTTGAAATGGTTATCGAGATTCTTAAAACGAAATCATAAAATTAACTGAAAGAAAACCATGCAGATATGGCTTGGGACAGCAGTTTGCCAATCCATGCATGGTTTCATGATCAGATATTGCTGGCGACAAACATTCTACACTGTTTTTTTTTTTTTTTAACCTGAAAGAAACTCCTACTTCTATGAAAAAACTGTTTCTTACATCCAATTACTATAATATCAAGTGAATTAACCGTCTGTAAATAACTGAAAATCAGCGAAGAACACAGGACAAATGCTTTCTTTCAGTCCCGAAAGACAGGTGGAGAAGAGGAACTTGCATGCATGTCTGCCACGTTCAAATCCAATCAGATAATACTTGCCAGTTTTGCACCCACAAATCAACGAAAAACTCTCCAAATCTACTATGTAAACAACACATAACAGGACACTTGGAAGCACCCTCTACATTCAAGGCAAATCCATGAAAACCTACCATATATACGAAGGGATCAAGAAACAGGTATTTACAAATTCAAACTGCCTCATCCCACCCCATATTCTCTTCTTTGATTCATTCTTCTGAACTCTTTATATATAGATTGAGAGAGTCTCTCACAAGGGTGTCTTGATATCTAATTATATTTTCACAAGGAGTTATTGGTAGTAGTTGTCACTTTGTTTGTATTTAAATATGGTGTCTCGCAAAGTTAACCTCTTTGTTTTTGTCCTTCTTCAAGCCTTTTTCTTGCTTTCTTCGCCAGTGCACTGTGGTACTGTGATCGCCTATCTATTTTTGCTTATGGCTTTTTTATTCATGAGTTGTTTGTGTGAGAATGTTGCATGCCTTAACTAGGCTTGAAGCATCTCTAGTTTTCTCTGCGCTTGATGTGTTACTTAGTAAGAAATGTGGCAATGCTTGTGTATATTCCCAAGGATCATTGTTCTAAAAATAATTAAAAATAAAGACCCGAAGGAAAGGATAATTATTTTTATTTGTTAATGGTTTCTTAGAGAAAATTATATAGGTGTAAGACAGACAATTATTTCTTCCTTTTTTCGCTCTTGAATATCTGGGATTAACATGTTTCCAGACATGATAATAATGCAGGACTGCAAAGTTTTAATTTTTAATTTTTATATTTTTTTGCAGACGAGGAAAATGATCTTCTTCAAGGTCTCAACAGCTATAGGCACTCTTTAAACCTGCCGGCCCTTGTCAAGCACACGAATGCAGGATGCCTCGCTGATAAAATTGCTGGCAAGCTAGAGGATGAACCTTGTACATCAGCCAGAGCGGCAAGCCCTGTGCAAATAGACGACTATCCTGACCTACTTTCAAAGTGTGGCGTTGATGTTAATCACACTAATGAAGGTGTTGCATTACCTGTTTGCGTGCCTCATTTGGTCCCAACTTTATTGCTAACAAATTATACACGAACAGCATATGCAAGATACATCAATGCTTCAAGATTTAGTGGAGCAGGACTTGGTCATGAAGATGACTGGTTGGTGGTGGTCCTGACCACAAGCACCCCTAGAGGGGACTTTGCTGGGGCTACTAGTTTGGTTTCCAGGGTCGGTCTTGGCCATTGCTTGTTGACTTTATTGCTAGGAGCTCTTGTTTATCTACTGTATTAAATAATGCTAACCGTGGCACTCCATGTTGTTTCTTTTATTAGAATTTTGGCATTGTATGCGTTGCGCTGTTTTTTATCAATAAATTTAGTAGGTTTGATTTCTCTTGACAATCGGTTGCTGTGATGTAATGTGTTACATTTAGATGGTTCATTTAGGGTTGTTCCTGTATATGTTGTCTCTTAGTGCTGACTAGACATGGTTAATTTGTAGTTCTTTGATCAAATTTGAGCCCCTCAAGTATTACCCGATTCATAATTTCATTCCAAACTAATCAATTTTACTGATGTACAAAACATTAGAAAATGTTCCTGTCCATATCGTTGATTTTCTCCAAGAAGGTATGACTGGGTTCACAAATTAGTCCCAAACTAATTAATTTTACCGATTTGGTCCCAAACCCTTCTGGCACTAGACAATGCTCCACCCTGCACTAGGGAGAAAAATAAAAGTTTGTGTGTTTGGACAAGCTTGCTCCATCAGGGATTCTCAAAGGTAGAAGATGGCTGCCGATTGTCAGCAGCCACAATCAGAATCTCATCCAAAAGAAAACTTGTCACCACCACCACCCTGTATGTGTTCCTTGATCATACAGAGGCATTGGAAAGGTGCCACATTTCTTTTTACGTGCGAAGCAGCACCATAGAAGAACATCCTGAGCTCCATTTTTCAGCGCAGGTTAGTGGGGCTGGGTTCGTTCATCAAGTTATTCCAAGTCTTTATGATTCTGCCACTAACAAGTGGCACAAACAACGGTTGCCAATCCGGTTGGTTGATCGCTAAGGAGGAAGCACAGGATGAGTTAGAGTTGACTAGCCAGAAATTGGTTAGGAACTTAATTAGAATATTCATTCCTGACAGTGAGAAAATGTTCACTTATTTATTTCACAGTTATCCTTGTTTGGCATGTTCAAGGTCTGTGCGCCAATTGGGGGAATAGGAACTTCTGTTCGGATGGTGGTTCAGGTGTGGATAGGTGTCCTTTCAGAGTATAACATTTTTCCAAGACACTAGGGAAAG